ATAAAACTGAAACTTTGTTGCCCTCAGCGGAGGCCAAAGCGGTAAGCTGGGCTTCCTCCATTGCCAGGGCAACCAAGCCTCCTGCTTGCTCCAGCTCCGTGGCTGACAGCCGCCATCTTGGTTGGTTTAATTTGCATATAGTCACTCTGATTGGCTGGTGGGCGTGGCTTGGAGCATAGTGAAGGTATGGTCCATTTGCATGTTTCTCTTTTATTAGATTAGATTAGCATCATCATCATCATCATCATTATTATCATCATCATAGCATCACCATACTCAGTACTGTAAGTATCAATAATGATCATTCTTGGCCATCAGTACTTCCGTTTATGTTCTATAGACCTTCCTCTTAATGGTGGGCCTTATAACACTGATTTTTCCTTGAGTGATTAAGGGTTTGGGAAGAACTGAACCTGAAGAGTTGATGTGGATGATCCCAGATTGGAAGGGGTTACTGGCTAAGGTGTTTGAGCCCAAAGTGGTGATTTATAGCCTTTAGATCAGAATGCTCTTAACAGGTACTCTGCATTATCTGTACATTTTTAGACTAGAGAGCATCATCTGATATATTTCTCTCTTCCTTTCTCTTTCTTCATAAAAAGTTAAATATCATATATATGTATATATATATATGATGAGAAATGGCCAGCTTCTGTTTTGTGTTAGACATGTAAATCTACGGTATTATTCTCTAATAGAATAAATTAATAAATGATATCTTTGTACTCACTAAAAATTAAATATTAATAAAGCAATCAACCTGTATTTGTATTAGAATTAATGCATTTCTTTCTAAAAATATTTTAAATTTAAATGTATCACTGATTAAGACTTGAACAGTTTATGTTAGATTAGTAAAGTAGGAACAGAATATATGCTCAACAGAAAGTTGCACAAAATAAGTATGTGATTAGTCATCAATGAACCATTATACTTATTAAGATGGGCCTCAATTCTTTTGACTTCCTGTTCACATTTAGATTGACCTCAGCTAGACTAGTGGATGAGAGACATTAGGAAGTATTTGTGGCTTTGTGGTGTGTGTGTGAGGGGGGTGGTGGTGGTGGTGGTGATATCAGAATGACTGGGTGCGGCACCACTGTCATCTATATGGTAGGGGCCAACAAAGCAACTCTCCAGTAATGTTCAAACCAGTCTTGAGCAACACTGAAATTGTCCTTCCCAAATAGCACTCCTATTGTTTTTTTAATGCTGAGCTAGAGAAACATTTCCAGCCTCTTCCCAAGACCTGCTTAAAAAATTTGGTGAAGGAAATAGCTTTGTTCGGGTTAGATTTTGAGTTAAATTTGGAGCCACCTTGGACACAGGACTCGGTTCTCCTCCTTCTCCATTTAGTAAGCCTTCAGATTGCAAAGACCCATAGCATCCAGTTATAAAATGAACCGAGTGTGTAAATCTATCTAATTCAGAGTTGTGATTTTAGCAAGCAAACCTAAATCATACCTTCTTTCCAGCTTTTATCAATAAAAACATATTACATTTTAATCTTTACCTGCCTGACTCCACTACTTTTCAACAGGATACAATTGTGGGGGAAGGAATGATATTTATTGGCTCTTAAGCTGCCAAAAGGTAAACACAAAATTTGTTTTTCGGTGAGTACCATGCAGAACCAAAAGGCTTGTGAGTTAATACAAAAAATAATAAAACTATATACTGCTTTCTTCAATAAATACATAAACTGTTGCTGATTTATTTTTCCAAAAGACTTGCTGATGGGACTGTAAAAAATCTTTGATCTTGAATCTTTACTAAAAAGTAAAATTACCAAGTCAAATGTAAATGTAGTTGGACATAAAAATAAATTAGTTTGTATATTTCATTAAAATAACATTACTTAGGATCTTCTTTTACTTTTTTAAAAAGAGAATTATTAATGTCTAAGTAAATTTTGAACTTTCTCAGATTCCTGCCATTAGTTTGCCTATATTTGTGTAATTTAAATCATTCACATGGCAAGATTGCAGGTTTTTATTGGTGCTTAATGTCACATTAAGATTTTAATTTTCTTTAGAGTAAAAATTTTTAGTGTATGCTTTTTCTCTACGTTCCTTCTGTATTTTCAATTTAAGATAGTCTGTAGTAGTGGGGAGAAGTGCAATCTGAAAAAATATTAATACATATCAAAGAGAGAAAGGGAAAGAAGAATTGGTTTCAGAAGTGATTATA